GTGTTTGTGGTTTTTCCAGAGGGTTTGCATCAGGATAAAGCACACATTGGAGTTTTTTTGGAAAGCCTGGTCCTGGTGCTGCCTCCCAGTGCAAGCTGGAGATGCTGTGCCCTGTCCTGCTGGGATTGCAGCCCATCTCCAGGGCCAGACATGGCAGAGCAGGTGGGAAATCCTGCAGATGATGGTCACATTCTGCAGGGTGATGGGGTTGTTGGAGATAAAGACACATAATGCCCAGAGAAGCTGTGGCTGCCCCATCCTTGGAAGGGTCCAAGGCCAGGTTGGAGCAACCTGGACTAGTGGAAGGCATCCCTGCCATGGTAGGGGGTGGCATGAGCTGATCCTTAGGGTCCTTCTCAACCCAAACCATTCTGTGGTTCTACGAAATAACAATGTACTTGGATTTTTCTTGAGTGTCCTTGGCAGGCTGGGCAGAGGGAACAAGTAGGGAGGTGGCTGCTTTTCAGGGACTCTTCATTATCAGCATGGCAGCTTGAGGAGGGTGGTTTTTCTTCAGTGTGATTTAACATTTTTTCTTCTGCCTTTTGGCTTTTGCTCCACCGTCTACGAATTTTTTCTGCAAAAATCTCCAAATACCAGGACGCTGTGGTGGTAGCAGTGAAGAGCAGCACCATCTCACACAGTCATTAAAAATGCATAAGTAGTTTCAGAAGCAAGTTGCTCCCTCCGAGAAGCAAATCGTCCATAATTCTGCTTGGTATTTAGAGACTTTTATCTCCAGAGAGAACGCAGAACTCTTCAGGAGAGCCCTGATTTATTTTATTCTCTTGAATTTTCCGAGCTAGAGATGGAAAAAAAGGGGCTTAACAGAGAAAGAATTACATACTCGTGCTGCACAGAGGGCAGCCAGGGGTCAGCTCATGATCCACCAGCTCCTCAGCAATGCACCCACCACCCTCAAGGGCCCAGCAAACTCTTTTCCAAGCATCCCACTCCTTCTGGGGGTAGCAGATTGAGAGTGCTCCATAAACAGCTGTCCATCAAGCAGGCTATCATAGCATGCTGTCAGTACAGTAAAGAGGAGCCATTACAGCAGGAGCTGTAAATGTACAGGCTGTGACATGTTCTTGGTGGGAACTTCAGCAGAGGAAGTTGCTTTGATTTATTTTCAGCAAACTGTGCCGAGGATGAGTTTGGGATAAGTCATCTTCACATGCACAAGGCTTAGTGCAGCAAGTTGCTATATATCCTTGCCTCTTAAGTGTTTTCTTGGCTTCCTTCTGGGAAGGACAGTTATCTTCCCTCCCTCTCTGTGTGGAATTTTGGGCTGCACTGAAGTCAATATCCAAAGTTGTACCTCTGAGTCCTTGGTGCAGGAGGGGTGTTTTATGGCTTCTCCTGGGGAGGTGAGAGGCACCCAGACATGCAACTTGCAGCTGTAAGGATGCAAAAGCTGCTGGGAAGGTGAGCAAGGCAAAAATTAATTTATAGTGAAGGGTTTGAACTGTGTTTTGTGCCTGAATTTAGAGAGGAGGAGGCAGGTGAAACGTGGGTACTGGGAAGGTGAAGAAACACCTTTGAGAGCAGAAGCCTTGCTGCTGGGCTAGGAGGGAAAAATTCCCTCTCTCCTTTCCCTATCATCCTAAATCTTGAGTGCCTGCAGTGGAATCCCAGTTGTAGCTGCAGTTCACTGGTGCACCTGGGCAGAAGGGATGTTTTATGGCTTCTCCTGGGGAGGTGAGAGGCATCCAGATGTGCACCTTGCAGCTGTAAGGATGCAAAAGCTGCTTGGGAAGGTGAGCAAGGCAAAAATTACTTTACAGTGAACTGTGTTTACCGCCCTTTCATGCCTGAGTTTAGAGAGGAGGAGGCAGGTGAAACATGGGGACTGGGCAGATGAAGAAAAAAGGATGCAAAAGCTGCTGGGAAGGTGAGCAAGGCAAGAATTACTTTATGGTGAAGGGTTTGAACTGTGTTTTGTGCCTGAATTTCGAGAGGAGGAGGTAGGTGAAATGTGGGGACTGGGAAGGTGAAGAAACCCCTTCAAGAGCAGAAGCCTTGTGGCTGGGCTAGGAGGAAAATCCTCTCTCCCCTTCCCCTCTCATCCCAAATCTTGAATCCCAGCCTCTGTCCCCGCTGCTCAGCAGTGCAGGTGTGGTGTGGTGGGGGAGCATCCTGGTGTTGCACTCTCCAGGTATTTTCCAAGCCCCTCCATCAGCCAGATGGTCCGTGGGCACAGATTGTAGGAGCCTGTGTGGTTCTGCTGTCTGGCAAAGCCCAAGGTGTGTTTCTCTCCCTCCCAGCTGTTCCCAGGGCTCGTGCTCAAACATCCAAGTGCTGGGAAGCCATTTGGAGCAGTGGGGAATGCGTTAGGTAGAGGCAGCATCCCCCTGTGCTCCATGTTCTAGGTAATTACAGCCCTGCTGCTCGTGGAGCAGAGCCCAGCAGGTGCCCTGTATTTATTATTTAGCTTTCTGTTAACTCTGAGCTGGTGGTGCACAGGCAGCTGCTGCTTCCCTGGGAATCTCTGCATTCAGCTCCTCACCGAACCTGGCTGCAAACAGGACAGGGGGCATTGGGGTCTGTCCCTCAGAGCTGGAACTCACAGGACCTTTTCCCAGACCTTGTGCAGTTCGTCTTTGCAGAGTCTGAAGTGAGAACCACTCGTTTTGGGTTGGTGATTCACGGAGTCACAGAATCACTGAGGGTGGAAAAGCCCTCAAGGATCATTGATCCCCCCCCAGGACCCATCCCCACCTTGTCCCCCAGCCCAGAGCACTGAGTGCCACATCCAGGCATTCCTTGGACACCTCCAGGGGTGGGCACTTCACCACCTCCCTGGGCAGCCCCTTCCAGTGCTTGAAAACCCTTTCCATGAGGAAATTCCTGCTGATGTCCAACCTGAGCCTCCCCTGGCACAGCTGGAGGTTTCCTCTCCTCCTGTCCCTTGTTCCCTGGGAGCAGAGCCCGACCCCCCCCCCTCCAGCTCCCCCCTCCTGTCAGGGAGTTGCAGAGCCAGGAGGTCCCCCCTGAGCCTCCTTTTCTCCAGGCTGAGCCCCCCCAGCTCCCTCAGCCCCTTCCCAGCTCTGTTCCCTTCCCTGCACACGCTCCAGCCCCTCCATGTCCTCCTTGAAGTGGTTCCACAGGGCTTTGGCAGAGAATGATGGGGGTGTGAACTCCAGAATCCTCCTCAAAGGCTGGACAGGCATTTCCCTGCACTTCCTCTGGGAATTTTGGGGTTTGTGCCTGCCTTTCCCCACCCTGGGGGAACAGGTCTGGGGGAACAGGACAGGTCTGAGGTTCTGTACCAGATGTTTTGCCAGTTGAGCTGCCACGAGCACCAATTCCCCAGCCAGGACCTCACACTTCCACTGGTGTGAGTAAATCTGACCTGATCCTGCTGGGTTTTTTTCTCAATATCTTGGGAAGTTTTGAAATAACTGCTTCAAAGTGCTCAAATGATATGTTGCTCCACAATCTGTCTGTGCCGCTGCCAACGCTTCCAAGGAACCAATTTCCCCTGTGCTTAACCTTTTAGGGCTTTTCCTCCTCAGGAATTACTCTGTAACTCCCACTTAAAAAAAAAAAGGAAAAAGAAAAAAGAGAAAATTGCCATTGCCCTTCTCAGGGGTGGTTGGTTCATGATTTCCAGGTGGTTTGGAGGAGTTTCTGCTTTTTAAAAGTGGGTTGAGCACACTGAAATCAGGATGCCCTTCCAATGTGCAGCTGACATTTGAGCATGGGATCCCTCAATTTTCTGGAACAGAGAGGATTGGGATGCAGGAGGCAAAGCTGGTGGTGGGAGCTTCCCAAGGGAAACATGATCCAGAAAATTATCAAACCCCAAGGAGTGGAGATATCCCAGTGCTCCCTGTATTGTCTTTATTTCTGTGGCCATGTCTCAGTATTTCCTGTCTGTAAAAAGGGATAGTCCCTATGGAGACTGCTGAGATAAGCTGGAGGAAGCCTAAATGTAATCTAAAAATAGATTAATTGAAAAATTGCAAGTAAAAAGCTACATCTTTTTTTTTCGGACAAAACTCCTGGTAACTTCAAAGGCAGATTAAAGACTTTGCCTGTGTCAGGACTTTAATATTTGGCCCAAGAATTAGACAAATGGAATAGTGTGAGAATGTTTGCCAGAAAATTGGAGAAGGGAGAGATAAGGTAACAGATGAAACACTCAAAGTCAGCATTTAAGGACATTGCTGCCTGTGGAGATAATTTTATCAACTCCAGAGACAACCATTTTTTCTACAAAGTAAAACTCTGCCCTCCATGTAGCTGTTTAAAATGGAATATGTTACAAATTTGTTGAACTGTGCTGTGGGAGTCTGCTCTGGGACAGCCAGTGCCAATATCTGTGCTAGTGATAAATCTCTGCCTTCTGCTCTTCATTTTCATGGTGTTTTGACTTTGGAACTTAGACCCTTGTGTGTTGGGGTGGAAAAAAAGATGATCCTGATCTCGGTTTTGTGCTGAATCCTCTTGTTCTTGAAAGGGGGAGAAGGAGGTGTGACTGTCATTGGGGCAGGAGCATTACCAAGAGTTGGTTTTTAGTTTGGTGAGGCCCAAGTGACTCTCTGTCTGTGCCTACACTCATTCCTCACATTATGTCTTGGTATGAAAACGTTTTGTCCCATCCTGAAACCAGAAGCCAGTTTTATATTTTGAGTTTCAGGCTGCTCTGAGTGGAGGAAAAAAAAGGGGAGGTGGGTGGGAATAGAAGTTAGAGATGTGACTCAATATTGATTTCCACTTGTTTTTGCTGAAATGCTAAAAATGCCAAGATGAAATATTTGGACTTTTCCTTGTGTTTCTTTTCAATTTCATTTATATTTTTTGTTGTTGTTGTTGTTGTTAGAAGCTCTTTGCCCAGTTTGATTCCGATTCCTGAATAATTCATGGTCCGTAAATGGCTTTGGTAAATAGATTCTTTGCCCCCAAGTGCTTGGCAAGCTGGGGGCAGTGCCACCCTGCAGTGAGGGGCTGCTGGGGGAGCAGAGGTGCTCACGGGGCCGTGTGTTGTGTCTCTGCAGAGTTATGTCATGCCCAGACCACCAAAGGGCTCCATGAGGATTTATGGAAGATGCCCCGTGTCTTGGCGCCTCTGGTGCTCCTTCTGCTGTGGCTGATGAGGATCTCTGCCAGCCCCCATTCCCTGAGGATTGGTGAGTACAG